TATCATGGAGGCAGAAGTGGGGGGTGGTTGGTGGCAGCCAGTCAGTGAGGGGGGCTGGAAGGGGTGGCCCGTAAGCCAGCTGCCACAGCCGGACTTGGGCCGCTCCTGGGGGCTGGTCACCAACAGTGGCTGCCTGCCACCTCATACTGCTGCCTTTAATACAGAGGCAGCAGTGCAGGGCTGCAGCAGCTCCTGTCCATGTGGAGGCCAAGCTCTCTGTGGACAGAAGGTGATTTGTGGGATGTCAGAGCAGTCCCTGTCCATGGGAACCTCAGACCCCCTCTGGCCAGGGGCTGCTGCTGCAGAGCAGCCTCTGTCTGCAGCGAGCATGGCCCCACGGCAAACAGAGGCTGCTTCATAGCAGCCACCCCCACCCCACTGCCGCAACATGGGGGAGAGGGACAGGTGGCTCTGCGGAGCCAGAGCTTGGGGGTGCTAGCTGTAGGAGGCAGCAAGGGGGAGGAGGCAAGTCCGCAGAGCCAGCATGCGCAGAGAACCGCTTAAGAGATGGCTTTTCTTATGTATCAGCTCCCGCCTACCCCCCTCACCCTCTACGCTGCTGTCTCTCTATCAGAGGCAGCAACATGGTGCAGGAGACCGGTCAGGTGCTCGCCTCACCCGCCCACCTTGCTGCCTCTGATACCATTGTAGTGCTGGTTTTGTTTCTGATGTTGACTTGGCAGGGATTTGTAAACCTGTTAAAATACCCCAGACAAATACATAAATGGGAAATGGGAGAGATGGTTTGTGCCTACAAACTTGCCATGCATCAGAGTAAAATTCTCCAGCTCTCATGGCTCATCTTGGATTTATTGGTTTAAGGTTCAAAGCAACTGTATTGCCAACAGGCAGAATCTACCACATGAGCTAAAAGCCAGCTGGCTATTAGGTATGGCTATAGAATAGATTCATTATTCTCTCTGTAAGCCTATGTCTACACTGCACATCAATTTTGAAATAAGATATTCCGGAATAGTTATTCCAAAACAGCTTATTTCGAAATAGCACATCTACACTGCAGGGAAGCCTCAAAATGAGTCCAAGGCAGGCTTCCCTAATGTAGATGTGCTATCTCGATTTAGAGCTCCAGGAGGCACTGAGGAGGAATAACTAAGAATGGCCCTGGTGGGGGCTATTTTGAAATAGCAGCAATGGAGCGTCTACACACAAAATAGCCTTATTTTGACATAGCTATTTCAGAATAGGCATTATTCTTTGTAGAATGATGTTTACAGATTTTGGAATAAGCCGCCCATTATTTTTAATTTTTTTCAAAATAACAGAATGGCTATGTAGACGCTCACATAGTGATTTGGGAATAATGGCCATTATTCCAAAATAACTTTGCTGTGTAGACGTACCCTAAGTGGCCTTAGTATCACTAGATGGGACAATACACCATACTGATCACCTGCAGACCAAAAACCTTCCAACCCAGGAACTCAAAGTACTTTATAAATTGAGAGCAAGACTCAGCAAATATTTAATAATGGTCCACTCTGGCGGACAGCTTCATTGATGTAAAACATACATGAACCCTTACAACAACTCTGTGACCAAGAAAAGTAAGTATCTTTATTGTATAGATGGGGAATTGTGAGCACAGAAATGCTAAGGTCCATATCCTCAAGGGGAGTTAAATGCCTTGCTCCTTAGGGCTAGAATAGATTATACTAGTTACAAAGCCAGTGCATTGGGGCTGTGTCTACACTGGGCCACTTATTCCGGAAAAGCAGCCACTTTTCCGGAATAACTTGCCAGCTGTCTACACTGGCCGCTTGCTTTTCCAGAAAAGCAATGACAATCTACTTTAAAATCATCAGTGTGTTTCCAGAAAAACTATGCTGCTCCTGTTCGGGCAAAAGTCCTTTTCCAGAAAAACTGTTCCGGAAAAGGGCCAGTGTACACAGCACAGTAGTCTTTTCCGCAAAAAAAGCCCCAATCGCGAAAATGATGATTGGGGCTTTTTTCCGGAAAAGCGCCTCTACATTGGCCACAGACGCTTTTCTGGAAAAGCATCCTGCCAATGTAGACGTGCTTTTTCCAGAAATACTTATAACGGAAAACTGTTCCGTTTTAAGCATTTCCGGAAAAGGGTGCCAGTGTAGACGTAGCCTGGGAGTGTAACCAACCTCAAACTGTACAAAATCACAAATCAGGCCCCAAAAAAATCATGAGATAGGGTTAAAATTCTTGATAGTGTTAAAGCAATTAATATATTTGGGATTCTTTTTATTCTCCTGGTTTTTAAATCCATAGAGATCACCTCTTCAAGCTTTTGTCTGCAATCAGGAGAGTTAGAAACTTCTTTTTTTTTTAATGAAATCTGAAGGTCTCACATAATCACATGACTCCAGGAGTTGGGGCCTTAAGAACATTAAATAACAGAAGCGACGAGGAGTCCTGTGGCACCTTATAGACTAACTGAAGTGTAGGAGCATAAGCTTTCGTGGGCAAAGACCCACTTCGTCAGATGCATGTAGTGGAAATTTCCAGAGGCAGGTATAAATGTGCAGGCCAGGATCAGGCTGGAGATGATGAGGTGGATCTAATAACAGGACTCTTGTGGTAAAATTAAAAGAGGTGGCAATACCGTTAGCCTACTATAAAAGTCCCATTGTTGCTATCTCTTGCCTCCAAAACTGCAATGTCAGAACTAGGAAAACCAGTATCAGAGGTGGGAGTCTGGACTTTTCCAGACCTTTCTCTTCTAGGACTTATATCTGAGTGAGGAAAAGAAAGCTGTTCTGTCTTCCACAGTTTATCGCCATTGTGTGTTCTAGTAAACAGTGCCTCCATCTTAGTGACAAACACAATTATCTGCTTGAAGATAATGTTACTGAAGCACAGCTGAGAGTTTTTTTTCCAATTCTAAATGCTGGTGTTTTCCCTATCTTGCCTTTTTGAAATGGTTTGCTGTAGTTCTTTATTTAGCCCTCATTTCTGGTACAGAAAGTGGAGTTGTTATTATTAATGACATGTATTATTTTAGCACTTTGAGACCAGGACTAGGACTAGACATTTTTATGTTTAAACTTTTTTTTTTCAAAAATGCAGGTTTGCTTCAACCAAAAAATGTGGCATGAATTTATGTTGGAATTTTGTGTATTGAGCCCATTGAAAGGGGGGGGGGGGGGACGACAAGGAAAT